ATCTTAAAGTATAGCAGCTGCGCCTAACGACACCCATCTTCTAAGTAGTCACATGTCTCTCATACTTACGGTGACCATATTTTAGAAACAAAAAAAAAAACAGTATAAGTTTTCATTATGTTTATATTCATAATAAGAAAAGAATACAAGAAAAATATGGGGCTTGTACCAAATATAGTGCATCAGCTGTCACAGCTGACATAAGGCCCCTTATTTTCTTCGGAGCTGGAGTATAGGGACGAACGCTTGCCAAAAACACGTCAAAAACTAAAATGGAAAGGTGCTTATCACGATAGTCTGTTCCTCCAACCCCCGTAAAGCACAGAAAACCACCTCGGTTTGATATCAAGTTTTCGACAATAAATAGTCCCCGTTAGGAGTGAATGGTAAAGAATAAAAAGCTACACTCTAGTCCCATTTTCAGAAATATTCCTGGAAACATCACTGACATCTAAAGGGTATTACAGTCATAAGCTATGGTAATACCACAATCTTTATTTAAAATCTGTATACTACATCGATAAGAATGGTGAATGCTATCGTTTCGACAAGGTAAATGACAACTGTGAGCGTTGCCAACTTGTTTGTATTTTCTGCTCTTTCTTCACAATTTGTAACCACTAGGCTGTAATATGTGAAATGCATTAATGTCTGACATCAATGGACAAAATTTGAAATAAAGGACAAAATAGACATTTACAAAAAAAAAATAAAGTTAAAGGACAACATTATGTGAAAAAGGACTGTCCTTTGAAATAAAGTACGGATGGTCACCGTACTCATTCAGCTAGATTTGGCTGATTACTTTTACATGCTATATACTATACTTTTAGGCTCCACTGCTCTTCATTTGAAAAATTTTGGAGGACGAAGATTCTCAGAATACCGCTGCTGAACTAGGAAACACTTTTAGGCTTTTATCAAGTCAATGGTTCGCGACAAGCGTTGATGAGATTACTCGAGACTAGCAAATTTTCCAAAAAAAATTATATTTTTTTTTACTTTCATGTACATAAATTTACTAAGCATCTCCATGAATATGAATTTATCTCAGCGAAGCAATTAATTTCGAATACCATCGTTGTGCTTGTTTTATGCTATAGGAGGTGTTAGATGCTAATATATATATGTATATAAATTAATTTTACCACCAACACAATTTTCATATATTGAAAATAAAAAAATAAAAGGTGCTGAGATTTATGTATGCCACTAAAAGTACACAAGCGGTGTTTGCCTACTCAAATCACAAGCGCCTCGATACAAAAAACGTAAACAAATTAACAACAACTAAGTATGAAAACAGCTAACAACACTAAGCTGCATATCGTGTGCCAAAAGTTGGATGCTCGTTCGTTGTGTTCCCTGTTTTCTGCCACGCCATCATCATTATCTCTCTCACCACAGGCGGTGGCAAACAATCGCGAGTAGCACATTTTGCCAGGCACTGCCTATGGCAAAACACCGAAGCTATTGTGAACAGAGTATGCATAGAGAATTGGCTTTTATGCAGCTTTGAAAGCGCTGATGTGCAGTTCTATTTTGTTAAACTGTAGTTTTAGTTATTGGCTGTTGTTAATTTTTTCTTACTTTGAAAACATGTGTGTGTGTGTGTGCATTGATGATTTACTATCTAGTCACAGCGTGCAACTAATGTTGTAGATGATGGTTTACTTTAGTGGGTCGGTCTATGTAGATAATAATTTTGTGTGTATAAGAAGAGTCACCAACATGGCCTGCATTTGTATGTTGTAAGCGTAATACGTGGGGCGTAGCTTTTGCAGTTAAACATTCAAAGCAGGCACTAAACATTAAATTCCAATGTGTTTAATATGTAGGTCAATTGTTTTTTTTTTAAGTGCTAGTATAGGTAATATTTGATGATTTATGGCAAATCACTATAGACTTTTCATTAAGCATATTAAAAAATTACTAATTTATTAAGAATGCATCTCAAAAACTAAATATCCAAGGTCGCAAAGATCAGATACGATGTTTGTGATAGATAACTCCGTCGATCGTCAAGATGGAGTTATCAATTCACCTTGCCGTACTGATATAAGGCCTATAGTACCACTAAACAACGGCGGCTTATATTGAATACCCTCTATTTGCAATTTTATCAAAAATGAGCTTCGGATAAAAAAATGTAACTAAAGCTTAAATGCAAGGACCCTAATGGCTATGATCTTTGTAATAAAAATCATTATATAACTGTTAAAATCAGGGTTATACTGTTTTTACGAAAAAATTTAACCGCTATTTAGGATTTTTATTTTTTTGATCATATTATAGCTCTTTGAGCCACGAAACAACCAGCTAAAAGAAATTTTACACGCTAGAATTAAGAAAATATAAAATAGTAAGATATAGTAGTAGGGTCTATAAAAGCCCCGAAACTATTGGGTAGATTAGATTATTTTGGCTGGCTGCATGGCTCTCTTAGACCAGTAGGTCCTTAGTGATGCCAGATGGAGATAGAGGTTTAGTTAAGCATATTCGAAGTATACATCATTAAGGATATCAACGCTTTTTGAGAATTTCAGCAGTGCTTGAAGCTCAATTGTTGTCACGTCTTCAAGATTATTAAACTCTGGAGCTCCGAGATATTTCAATCGTGTTTTTGATACAGCAGCACAATGGCATAGGACGTATTCTAGGGTCTCCCTTTTTCCCCTCACCATGCATTTTCTGCAAACCTCTTTGACAACAATCCCCCTTTTTTGCTTACGTGCGCTGCCTATTTACATGTTATGCCCTGTTAGGACATCTATCATGCAGTATCTTCGTGCCAGTGACGGTATAAACCGGGTTTGTGTCCCGTTTTCTTGTCTGCACATGACTTTGGAGATTTTACAGGTGTTTAGCCCATGCCATCTCCATATAGTCTGCTTTTTTACCATCTGAACCATTTCGTTTTAAAGATGTTTAAGCTCTTTTGGAATGTTATTTTCTTATTCTAGAATCAAGTGAATTCCGCTCTAGGCAGTATCCTTGTGGCCGGGGATTCAATATATATGCAGTCGCCAGGTTACTGTTGCTCTATTTATGGGCACCCTGCTTCTAAGGGTATTTTTTGACGTAAATTCGTATGAGCTTATAGCCTTAATCGCTGCCTAACTATCTACGTACAAATATGTTAACTTTAGAGTTATTTTAGGTCATTAAGTAGGCTAGCTCAGCGCCTTTTTTCACTGCGAAGACCTCTGCCTGAAATATACTGCAGTGATGCGACAGCTTGATGGGCTAACGAATATTAAGTTTTGAGCAGCACACTTCCGCTCCTACTGAAAGAGATGTCGAACACTCTACATTGTCTTGAGATAAGTGTTCCTTTCTGTCGCGGTCCACTACACCAGAGCACCATAGAATAATATTGGCCTCCCTATTGCTGTGTAGCACCAATGCGTTAGGGCTGGGGATAGGGGCCAAGTAATACCTAGAGGACGTTATTCGCTTTCTTCAGCGAAAATAGGACCTGAAGCGATACTTCGCAGATTAACATTGGCTTGGACGGTTGCTTGGACAGCAGCTTCTTTAACATAGCCAATGTCTCAGAAGTCCTGCGACGATTGCTCCTTGGACCTACGGATTTCTTTTTTATAGCTTCTTAAGAAGTCTGTGTACTGCTCCCAGTAGAACTTATTGTCAGCTGCCTCATACACCTTGAAGAGCTCATGTACTTCACGCCTGTGCTGTCCAAGTTCTCTGTTCCATCACGGGGGCTTGGATTACCGTTTAGTATGCACAGGAGGGCATGCAATTTTGTAAGCTTGCATGCATGTTGAGCTCTCTAAGTTCGATTATTTTCGCCTTTATAATCTTCCTATAGGGATCCCAGTTTAGTATTTATTGGGTTCCTCAGGGCCGTTATTTTGCAATTTGGGGAGAAAGCAATATATAATTCGATGTATCTATGAAACTATTCATTTATTGTAGACTAACCCTCGGTTCGTCGAGAATATCCCAGCTTAATTTTCGCCTTCAACTTCGTGTATACGAACATGGGACATTACCACGAGGGTACTGCGCAGTAGGCGTCGCCCAGACCTGTATATAAGAGAAGCAACGGGGCAGCAAAACGCTTCGTTACAGCCTTTTTTAACGCACGCATTACCCTCCACAAAAAAAATCTCAAAAATCAAGGGTAATTCTTAGCGACTCGAAATTTAAGCGTTATTATATTAGAATTTAATAAAAATTCTTAATAAAGATTAGAAAATTTTAATGAATTTTTAGTTTTTTTTAATTAATGTGAACTTTAAACTCCAAAAAATGTTCATGAAAATATTTGTGAATATTTGTAATAATAATAGAAATTAATATTAAGCAATAATAATAACTAGCCAGTTTTAAGAAAAAAAATTATATTTCAATTTGAATTCAGTTAAAATTTTATTTATCAAATGCAGACAATTTATGGGGTCGTTTCAAAGTTGCCCTTAAATACTAAATAACAGTTTGGGTCAAAATGACCCAGAAACACTGTGGGTGTATGGGTAAACTATATAACCTTCTAGCAAACAAAATAAAATAAAAAACTCTTGTATTTATTCTTAATAAAGATTAGAAAATTTTGATGAATTATTTTTTTGAATTTTTGTAAACTTTAAACTCCAAAAAATTATTCATAAAAATAATTGTCTATATTTGTAATACTAATAGATATTAATAGAACAATAATAGTAATAGAAATTAATAAAATGACCCAGAAACAGTGTGGGTGTATGGAATAACCATATTTCCTTCTAGAAAACAAAATAAGATAAAAAACTCCTGTGTTTTTTGCAAAACCATAGCTGATTATGCTTTTAACGAATAGACAGGGCCGCAGCTTATTTAAAATTACCTAACTCTGTAATTAAAAAATTTGTTCATGAAAATTGGGTAATTTTTACCCAACCATCGCAGGAGAGTTAAATCTGTAAAAATATTTCTAAATACATATATAGTATTTCAAAATATTTTTATTTTTATTCCCCACCCTTTTCTATTCGTAGATATGAAGATATGTACAACAATCCAAATAAGGCGACAAATCAGGAACATCGAGATCTTGTGCTCGACATACTCTCCGATGCACGTGTTGTTGGTCCACTAATGCAAACCGGGCTATTTCATGCAGATGTGAATCGTCGCAATTATATGTATGTGTTTGGACATAATAGCGCCACCGGACCACATGCCAGCGTGAGTACATTGAAAATTCAACCTTAAGTCTTTAAGCCAAATTTGATGAGGTATGACGAAAATTTTTGTTCCAAAATACATTACACTTTTTAGACTTATTCTCTTCTCTTGCTCAGTAATTATCTGAAAACAATTCATGAAATTTGTTTTCCACGTGTTTGCATAAGTCGCAGCTGGTAGCATTAAAAAATGCCATATACTCGTAAACTAAATACCACCTGCGGTTGTTTAGCACAAATGTTAAGCTTTCTTGTAAGATGCGGAAGAAATTACTCGATTGTTTTGCTTAGCTTAGCTTACACGTGTGCACGCTTTTTTTTCTGTAGCTACAGATAAACTTTGCATAATCTTCTAATTTACTGATAAGAAGAAGAAAGGGATTCTACTTCGCGCTAGACAAGAAAACTAAGCACTTTCTTTCAAAATAGGATATACATACATACATAAATATATATGTAGATGTCGAAAATGTCTTTTAGATACATATCGACTCTTTAATATTTTATGTATCAGATAACAGAAGGACACATAAAGTTTTATTTCATTACATTAGCAATTCAGTTGACATCCGTACTAATTTATATGTAATGGCAGTTAGAACGCGAAATTGCGAACTTTTCTTCAAACTAGCATTTCCTCTATAGCACTGTACGCCATTTTTCATGTATTATTTCGCTGGTACTTTATTTTGTCATGCCATTGAATATGTCGCCATGAATTTGGCACAAATACTCGTAATTCGCTATGTCACTTAATTTACTCTTGGAAATCAATAAAAACGATACTTGAGAGAAAGTATTGTAGATGATATTCATTGGGAAAATATAGCCAGGCACACACACACACACACACCTATGCATACCCGCGCACTCATACATGGCCAATTGTGCAATCAACTATTTAATGTATGTATTTGTGTTTGTACTTGCCAGCTACATACATACATACATACTTTGTGTTTGTTTGTGTGTCTGCTGTTGAGATTTATTTTAATGTCTTCACTAAAACGGTCGAAAACAATGCGCTTGCCAACATCCAATAGACTAGCTACTAACAATGCATACTCGTATGTAAGTATGTTCATGTGGATGTATGTATGTATGTATTTTAGTACACACACATATCGACTAAACACATACATAGTTATGTGTAGATGCTTTAGTATAGTAACAAACAACCAAACGATCCTATTTGCCCTACTGGCAAACTTTATATCGCTGTAAATGCGGAAGGACAAACGGCATTCAGACGCAGACAAAAGCGTGGTCTTACAATGGAAGTGCCATTGGAATTGCTAACAAAGCGAGACTATGCTGCTATGATACAATTGCCCTGTAGAGAATTAATATATGGTAGCAATTATTTGCTGAAACATTTAAAATCTTGTGTGAGGTAATTCGAAAATGTAGAAATTTAAAGGGGTGAGCATTAAACATATTTCATTTTTTTTTTAATTAACGAAGAATGTATTTATCTTAGTTCATACGTTTGGTATCGCTTTTGGTGAACTAATTTTTAGTTAAGTCAAAAATTAACTTTTAAATTCAGTTTCCATATTATAGGAAGTTAGGTCAGAGGCAAAATGAGACGGTGAGAAAAATCGTATTTCAGTATGTACATAGTACTTTCACTGCTAAATTTCACTAGCTTTGTCAGAAATGTATAAAAACTCTACAAATTTTTCGATGCAAAACGACTTGGTTAGATGATGTAACGATGTATCAGGTAAGTTTTTCAAATTAATATTTGAGTAGATAACTCAATAACAGAAGTGAAATGCTTAAATACTACATATCGTCACATGCAATGCAAAAAGACGTAAAAACATCGGGGCCTAAGCGTGAGCGGTTAGAGGGAATACCCTGATATTCATTACATGCTTAAGACTACATTCGAAACCTTTGGGTAAATGTCCCACCATAGCCTACCGTGTATGCGCAATCGTCTGCGCCAACGTCGGTTAAATCCAGCGATGGAAAATAATCATTATCTTTTAAATTTCAACCAAAAAACTCAGCAATTTGTTATCGTCGTAAAACCATTTTAACTACAGTCACGTGTCTGCGTTCGTAAAACCTACTGGAATTTATAAGGAAAAATGAAAAAAAACAATAATGTCTAAGCGTATCGATGTGCAAAGTCAGAAGCGCTAACCACTGAGCTACCGCTTAGACATTGTTGTTTTTTTCACTTTTCCTAACAAACTAAATCATGATACAAAGCTCAATAATACTACTAAATTAAATATCTAAATATGTGGAGTGCATATATTCTTGAAACTCGAAAAATACCAGCTGGGCTCTTAGATACCGAATCACAGAAATTTCTTTTAGGCCAGAAAAACTGAACTAAAGAAAGCTAAATACGCTTTCTTTGATTCACTGACTAACGCTAAGGGTATCGCCGGCGGTCTTAATTTATTTGCTGAATGTTCACTATTTCATTTCCTAAGATGATTGCGTTGCTTAGCAATAGCGTTCGCTCGTTACTTCAGCGCAATTGAGGCTAGATATTGAATGTGTCTGCCACAACTGATGCCGCTGTTGCTGCTTCACTGACATTTATATGTAGCTAGTTTTCTGCAATAGATAAGAGGCACAAATTCGGCTTGAGAAAACAATTCTAACTAGTTAGTGAAATTGTTTTTCACATAAATAATTACAATACATACATACTTGTAGATACATGCGGTACTTACATAGAAACCAGTTAGATTTGTATGACATTTCCATGAGAAAAGTAAATGGAGGCTGCACTGCTTATAATCAATATCTTTTTAAATATTTTAAAATACACAAAGGAACAACAGAAAATTTCATAGTTTTTTATTTAATACTTTAAACCCCTGTTGAGTTTAAAGAATTAAAATTTAACACGTCAATTTCGCGTTTTGAGATTATGCATTGTGTAGGCAGCACACAAACACAAGCAACCTCGGTTGATGGTTCTCCAATTTCTCATTAAAAACCACATAACAAATATTTGGAAGTCTTTAGGCAAGATGCTTTTCCGTTAACCCACTTGGCAAACTTGCATAAATATTTCAGCAAATTTTAATACTTGTGTAGATATGTATGTGTGTGTGTATTTGTACATATTTCTACCAAAGAATACGTATATATGTATGTTTATTAGGGTGGTAAAAAAAAAACAAAAAGTCAGAATCTTAATGCTTTTTTTATTTTGAAATTAAAAAAATATTTAGAGGTCGCTCAAAGCCCTCAAACTTTTCCATGCATTTTATATGTAAAAAAACCAATTTTTCGAAGAAATGGTATAAGGTCCTTGAAAATTCATATTTTCGATCTGGAAAAGTGCCAATAACAATACCCAATTGTTTTGGCGGACCTATAAAATATAGTTACTAATTATGTATGAAAAAAGTTTAAATGAACAATTGCGTGATATTATTGAAAATGTCGTGATGAGAAACACAGTTTTCTTAGCGAATAATTTATTTTTCCCCCATATAAAATAGCTAGAAAACTTTAAGCGCTTTGAGCGTCCTATTTATAAATATTTTTTGATTTCAAAGTAAAAATAGAAGTACCTATATTTTTTCAGTATAGAACAATCCTAGGAGGTGAGAGCATGAAAATCCGACTTTACTTTTTCACATGCATTTTTGGACCACCCTAATATACATACAAATTTTCGTATTTATAGAACTTTTCAGGCACGAGCGCAATGTAAGCGCAGCGATTTTTTTTTACAGTCATGTGCATATGTGTATGAGCGTGATTGGATTTGCTTGACATCAGCCTTTCATGTACATACATACATATGTGTCTGACTATTGTATAAGCTATACAAATTATATTAATTAAATTCCAGTCTAAAATCTAAAATTATATCCGGCGGCACAAAGGCACGATTGTCTGAATATTTCATGCTGTCTGCTTATTCGCCTACATAAATGCTAAACGCACATGAGTATACACATAAATATTATTAATAAATATATTTATATACATACACACTTCACCACAACATCTGCTTTTAGGCGCATTATGCCACATATCCGGCTTTAGCTTGCCCTGGTAAATAACTATGTATGTCACAGCGGATTTACTGTCTGTCTACTTGGATTTTGTTTTTTTTTTCTGTTGCTTTTGTTGCTTTGTTTTGCTTTTCATTTTATAGGCAAAACCTTGCATGGCGTATATGTATGTGTGTATGTATGTACGTTTGTGCGCCTATAATCTTACATCTTGGCATTGATAATAGCAGTCACAGATAAGCTGCTGCTAAGTTGGCTCTGCTCATGTGTTATGCATGTACGTATATATGTATGTACTTACATGTCATTTATATCTGTTTAGAAATCATTTAGTAAATTGCTTATGGAATTCCAAAAAAAAAGTACAAAGACAGCAAAAACAAAGGCAACGAGTGCAAAAGTTTAATCTGATTTATTAACTGTGCAGTGGTTAACCAAAAATGCTTTGTTTTGTTGGTTTGTGTGCATCTTTAAAATATTCAGCTTTTTGTCAAATAAGCCACTAAATTATACATGCCACATTAAATTAAATGTCTCTAAAGGCCATCAGTGTGATAAATCAGCAAGTTGTTGTTTTTGAAATTCGTATCAACATGTGTGTAGATATATTTTTGTGTCATTTTATTTATATTTAGTATATGGAAGTGTTAAATAACATAATTGCTTCCGGAGCCTTTTTGTGGTATTACAAGAATATTAACTTACAACGAATTGCCTAAGATGTAAAATTAACGATTGCAATCACTGTGTATGAATTATGTATAAAACATGTTTAAATTGAGCATAAAATCCACAGCAAATTGTTATTAATAAGCTGTCGTTGGGAACATTTAATTTAAGGATATGAGCGCATTCTTGCTGTCCATTAAGTTTATTAAATTCTAGCAGATTTGATACTAGGTAATCCAGCTCAACTAGTGTTTGTAAATACAGAATTGAATTCAGTTCAAATTTTGTACAAAAAAAAACATTAAGAATAGTAAAGGCGGAACTAAGCTTA